TGAAGTTCTATACACATGGGGAAGTTTTAAAATTCTTTATGTCTGTTTCTTCATTTCTAAAATAAGAAGAGCAATAAGCAGGGAGTCAGTAGGAAGACATATAAGTGTTGGGAGACAATTTGTGTAAATCTATCAATTAGAACCTTAAATCTACCAATTAAATGCATGATTGCTCAAATACTTTAAGAATGTTTTTAAAATTTCTTTGAAGTCATGTTTATTACAAAAATATTGGTTAATAAAACTGTAGCTAATGTGAGTTAACATTAAATGGTTCTACATCAGTATTAAATAAAATGAACATCAAATGCTTTGTTTTTGTCTTTGTTTTCGTGTATAATACTCACAAACAGAAATCAGAATAATGAAATATAGGAATAATAGCTTTCTTATACTGAGGTATTGTTAAACATATTTTTTAAACTATTTAATGAATCATATTATTTTGTCAATAATTCTATTCCTTTACCTTTAACTGTAAGACTGGCTGCTGTTACTACTGCTGTCTTCTGATATAGATCTATATACAAGAAAGAGTTATTTTTAAGGTTAGAAGACATTCTAATCTTAAACAAAGTCAAGAAAATAAAAAAGCCAAATTTATACTAATTACTAATTAATATGTACCAATATTCACTTTGCTTCCTATATCCCACCTCAGGGATCGCATGTTCTAGTGTTTGGAATTTTTCTAATGTTAGGCTACCTTTTAAATATGTTAAGCATTTTTAAAATTTCAAACTAAAATTTCATCTGTTACTTTTCTCAATTTTGTCTACATGGAAGACAGGATGAAATATTAAAGTATCTATGATAATGCTTCTCCAACGTTAAACAGATAATTTAATGTAAATTCTTAAATGATCCTATCTCCAATTATCATATTTCTATGTAGATCACTCATTATTCCACTTTTATTAATGAGGTCCTTAATGGGGCCTCTATGTCTGTCAGCTATGTTTTGTTACATTCTGTGGTATGTTTGCAGCCTCCATCTGTCTTTGGCTTGTATGCACACACAGTTCCTGTTCAAGAGGAATGCCCTGGTAAAGGCTCCTACCAAACAGCTATAATTCTTGGCCACAGATGATAAGATCAGGTTTGAACACCTAACTCAGGCTTAGAAACCCAGACAGAACACTGGCTGAATTTAGCTACACCTGCACAGCTACTTCCTTCCGTGTCTTGAGAATATAAACTAAGAGACACTGGCTGTGGACAGATGACTGGTATTTTTATTTGAACATGAAACTAGACAGGGCTGAGCTAAGTACCCTGGACCATGTGCAGGCAGAGCAGTCATTTTGGAGAGAATGGACGTAGACAATAAGATGATGCCAATCATAAGCCTTTGGGTGATGGAGAGAATGACCTCGGTCCTGACCACCCGGTTCATTACCATGCTTTTGTGTTTCAGCTCTATGTCATTTCTGGCCCTTGCAGCCCTGAAACCATTTACTGTTGCTCGAAACTACTGTCATGACCAGATTTTATTTATGATCAATAATCTCTTACTATAGCATCTCTTCCAAAAGTCAGGTTTACTTTTGAAATTATTCAGATTTTTCCAAGATGTCTTAAGTAAGAGCACAGGAAGACTTATGAAACATGCAGAATACTACTCTGAATTTAACTGGCTGCTGCTCATTTATTGATAAATAAAATTAACTACCTTGGGAAACAGAGGTGTTGATGGAAACTTTGTATCATTTTATTTTATCTCTGTCTA